AGAGAGAGAGAGAGAGAGAGAGAGTGAGAGAGAGAGAGAGAGAGAGAGAGAGAGAGGTTATTAAGATAATTTTTATTATTAAAACTACCAAGGTTCTTTCTATTAAGGCGCACCATACGGGAGGATGTGATTAATGTTTTATTAAAATCATCACGCTGCTTAATCTTGACCATCATACACTTAAGGCTGGCTAATTGAATGAGTTGATTAAAGCACTCCATGTCCTACATTATAAACATAAGCAATAATTATTTAAAACTCAACCAATAATTAGTAAATTATGATACATTTGCATAAACAAATTAAACTAACCTTGATCTCAGCGCAGGCAACAAACTCATACCTATACAACAGCTTAACTAACGTAAACTTGAGCTCTAATAAAGCAAATCGAAAACCAATGCAATTGCGAGGGCCGGTGGCGAAGGGTAGGTATGTATGCACTGGGCGTGCTATTACTATTAAACTACTCACTACTTTGTACACTATTCAATACCTGTTAATTTCCATAACTATTCATACCTGTAATATTCATCACACAATGACTGTAAATACTTTGTATCACTAATTATTCAAAGACCTTTACTTATACTAATGATAAGTCTTTGACTATATAAGACCAGCACTACTATGTATTAAAATCAGAGTCTATTTGATCTCCGAGTTGTTCACTTCATGTGACACTCGTATTAATAAACGTTATGTAAATACAAGTCTTTGTCTTTGATTCACTTCACAAAGAAGTGCTGCTCTAGTCTTTGGTCGGCATAAACGCCTGGTTGGCCTGAGCTGAAGAACTCACCCCGCTTTGGCATAGCCCCCCAGTGCATGTATACGGTTTGATAATATCTATATTGTCGGGTAGAAAACGTTCCGGTTTAAACTCCATGAACTCGGAAAAGTGATCAGGGTCTATGTGCAGCGCCCATATGGAAATTATAATATGCGTGTCTTTAGGCAGATAAATGCCCTCTAAATACGTGTCGTTTGTGACAATTCTGTCGACTCTATTTACAACACAAAAATTTATTTTAAAAATTTAATACTTTGCAACTGTAAACACTATGTGGCGACTCTATATACCGGGTGACCGAACAGTTAACTCGCATCACTTCTTTGATAAATGCGTCCAAAAATGGCATTTTCTGTAGTTTTTCGTAATCCATAGACAACTCATTGGTAACAAGGCGTTCAGAAATAAATGTCCATAATGGCCATAACTTAAAAACGAATCGAGATAATTTGATTCTGTCTTCGGATTATAAATCAATTTATATCAATTTATTACATACTATCAAAAGCCTTATTGGCGTCTACGGGAGGGTTGGGATACCTATCGGCCCATACGCTAGCGTTAACCGAATGCTGTAACAGATCGGGCACCTGTTCATCGCGGGCCACCCGATCCCTAATCACGTGATTCACAGTATCGCTAATTATTTGCTGAGCGTTGCCATCAAAAAATGGTAACTCAAAGAATCGGCGCAAAAACGGCATAAAAAATACCAAAGCCTGTGTTAGACCTAGGTCGGCTTGAAATATCAATTGTATTGCTTTTAATAGGGAATTATGACCGGGGTGACCCAGGGCGTTTGTGTCGGCGCCGGCCACAGCCCTAGTAATCACGTCAAACGTGAACGAGTCGTAAACTGTGCGGAAGTCTACCACTTGGCTGTCCCGGGCTTTCGGGTCCAATAGAGTGACCAACCGTTCAAACGTGTCCGACATTATCGGTAGCATAGCTTTGAGGCGACCGGTGGTGAAAGCTGTGGAGTGCAGCGCACGGATACGTTTCCATTGCGGGTATGGCGTAAAAAATACACCCTTTCCTATTGGCTCACAGTCGGCCGGAAGTTCCTAGATTAATTTATTAGGAATTAATTAAATTTGTTTAATTATTATATACGATAATATATGTATAAAATTATAACAAAATTAATAAAAATAAACTGTATAATTAAATACACAATTAAACTGTCATAAGAAAGTTTGTTTTTTATTATATAAATTAATATTGTATATACTGTACACATGTAATTTAGAAGTCATACAAAGCTGATACTCAAGTAACTTTTCTTTATATTTTTGTCATATTTTCCTTGTACAAACGGCATATACTAAATTATTTGAAGTCTCTGAGTTCGTTCATCTGATCGTACATAGATTGGTTGGCAAATACATTTTCTATAAAATTACCATATTTGTCAGAGTATTTAGACTTTACCGCCGGTCGTATGAGCTTTTCGGTATTCATGCATATTGTGAGCGCCGGTACATTTAACACATCGCTAAACTTGACATTGGTAATTTTTTCGTATGAGAAATATATTAAACTGATTTCATATGTTTGATAGAGAAATCCACTCAATAGTAATGCTTTCAATAAAACATTAATTATTGTTGTTGTGGACACCATTTTAAAATGAGATTTTAAAATCAAACTAAAAGTTATTATGCTTGATAAAATATTAAATCCTGATCTGCTGACATTCAAACTAAAACATAGACTTGAATTTAATTATTTTATTTTAATGATTCTCTGCTTTTAATATTATTGCAATAACATAAATTTCATTATGTTATATTTACATTTAATTATTTTATCGTTACACCCAAATCAATTTTTAATCTAGCATTGTGTCAGCAAGGTTGTAGCTCCATAGTAAGCGTGAATGCAGTGATATAGGCTATAAGGATATCTTCGTGATTTGCTTGTATTCAAACTATACAATAATACATTGAATTTAATTATTTTATTTTAATGAAAATCTGCTTTTAATATTATTGCAATAATATAAATTTCATTATGTTATATTATATTTACATTTAATTATTTTATTGTTACACCCATATTGATTTGTAATCTAGCATAGTGTTAGCAAGGGTTGTAGCTTGTGTCTTTGCACTGATATCGACTATGAAAATACACCCTTGCTTACTGCATGCTAGATTACAAATCAATAGTGTAACAATAACATACATATTTTAATTAGCCTACTATAATGAAGTCTCACTTTTTGGTGCACGTCATGTCATTGGTCGTTTGTCAACAAAAGTGACACTATTATTTTAACCACAATTCAGCTATGAATAATGTAATTTATAGAATCATTCTACACCCCCACCTTACCCGACGGCTACTCTCATCTTAATAGAGGTGTCGATATTATTAAAGTTAAACACCGGTAAGTATTGAAACAACACAATACCTATGGAATGACCGGCCGATGCTCTGACCGTACAAATGTATTTCATTAGTAGTTTGAAAATAATTTTATTATATATTTATTAAAATAGAGAGAGAGAGAGAGAGAGAGAAAGAGAGCTATTAAGATAATTTTTATTATTAAAACTATCAAGATTCCTTCTATTGAGACGTATCGTATGTCATGATGTGATTCATGTTTTATTAAAATCATCACGATGCTTAATCTTGACCATCATACGCTTAAGGCTGGCTAATTGAATGAGTTGATTAAAGCACTCCATGTCCTACAGTATAAACATAATCAATAATTATTTAAAGCTACAATATATTAGTTAATCATGATACATTTGCATAAACAAATCAAACTATCCTTGGTCTCATCGCAGGCCACAAACTCATACCTACACAACAGCTTAACTAACGTATACTTGAGCTCTAATACAGCAAAACGATAACCAATGCAATTGCGAGGGCCGGTGGCAAAGGGTAGGTATGTATACGGTTTGATAGTATCTATATTGTCGGGTAAAAAACGTTCCGGTTTAAACTCCATAGGCTCGGGAAAGTGATCAGGGTCTATGTGCAGCGCCCATATGGGTATTATAATAGGCGTGTCTTTTGGCAAATAAATGCCCTCTAAATACGTGTCGTTTGTGACGATTCTGTCGACTCTATTTACAACATAATTTATTTTAAAAATTATATACTTTGCAATAAGACATGTGGCGACACTACATACCGGGTGACCGAACAGTTAACTCGCATCACTTCTTTAATAAATGCGTCCAAAAATGGCATTTTTTGCAACTTTTCGTAATCCATAGACAACTCATTGGTATCCGTAGTATACAGTGTGTTATGAATCTCATGAACCAGTTTTGTTTGATACCAGGGTTTGAGCGCAAGTATGCGAGTTATGTAACACAACTGGGACGCAGTGGTCTCGTATCCGGCGCCCAACATGCTCATCGACATGCCAAGCACTTCAACCTCGGTCAATTCTGATTGAAAATACATTTTAAAGTAATTATAAACAAGTTTCAGATTAAAATATCAATTTATTACATACTATCAAAAGCCTTATTGGCGTCGACGGGAGGGTTTCGATACCTATCGGCCCATACGCTAGCATTAACCGAGTGCTGTAACAGATCGGGCACCTGTACATCCCGGGCCACCCTATCCTTAATCACGTGATTTACAGTATCGCCGATCACTCGCATAGCGTTGCCATCAAAAAATGGTAACACAAAAAATCGGCGCAAAAACGGCATAAAAAATACCAAAATTTGATTTAGACCTAGGTCAGCTTGAAATATCAACTGTATCGCTTTCAACAGCGGATTATGACCGGGATAACCCAGGGCGTTTGTGTCGGCGCCGGCCACAGCCCTAGTAATCACGTCAAACGTAAACGAGTCGTAAACTGTCCGAAAGTCTACCACTTGGCTGTCGCGGGCTTTCGGGTCCAATAGAGTGACCAACCGGTCAAACGTGTCCGACATTATCGGTAGCATAGCTTTGAGGCGACCGGTGGTAAAGGCTGTGGAGTGCAGCGCACGGATACGTTTCCATTGCGGGTATGGTGTGAAAAATACACCCTTTCCTATTGGCTCAGACTCGGCCGGTAGTTCCTTGATCAATTTATTAGGAATTAATTAAATTAGTTTATACCATAATAATGATATAAAATTATAACTAAATTAATAAAAATTTATTGTGTAATAAAATTAATTGTTTGATAAAATTTTATTTTTAATTAAGTAAATTAGCTTAATTAAATATATAAACATGTAACTTGTTTTTTTCAAATAGACTTACCCTGTGGTTAGCAAACTTGTGAAAGTCAGTGACCAGTACTTTGCGTATGAGATTTGGATCAGTTACTGATAAACAGGGTCTCAAACCTTCGTAAAAACTAATTACATAAAAATTATTTATTAGTAATTAACAATATAAAACACAAAACAAAATCAATATAAAAACATGATTAATATAAAATTATTGTTATCAAATACCCGACAACTTTGCCGTGTTTTCTGTGGCACTCGTTGTCCGATATATGAAAGGGTTGACCACTTCTGGCCGACCAGTCGGTCGGTATTCCCTGTCGTTTCCAAAACCGCCACTTTTGCCACAATAGGCCTATTGTTAACACTATTGGCGATAGTACAAACAGTGTCGCCAACAACATGGTCACACTATTATTTTGTTTTGATCATTAAACTAATTAAAGTTTTTAAATACTTATAAATTTTTATATTTATAATTATAAAATATAACTTAAAATTTAAAATATAAATTATGTTATTTGGTTTTATTAATATAAATTTGATTGCTCTTTGTCTACATCAAGTAATATTACTAAATTTTTTCTAAGTATACCCATACTATCATCATTGTAATTTGTTGAAAAACTGGTTAAGAATTTTTTTTGTTTTTAGCTGTCAATAAAAATTATTTTAGCTACATTCAAATGTCTATATGTTTTTAGTATCCAATGCTCAAAAATATATAATTGATGATTATTAACGACCTTCATACTGATTGCCATAAAGAATTAAGTTTTCAGATAAAGTAGAATAATAAATAAATTGAGAGAATGATGAGGGTGTGTGGTGTGCATGTATGTAGGTATGTGTGTGCGATGAACATGGACAGTTA